GATTGAGACCTTTCAGACTAGATTGTTCAAGAGTTTGTCAAATCAGGTCTTGGAAACTTCCAAGGATGGTGCCTACCCAGTCTACTGGACCAATCCAGCCAAATGCTTGACAGTCCTCATGGAGGAGGCAACAGTTCTTGCTGTTCCTGGACCAGCCTTTGCCACTTAGCTCTCTGTTCTTGTGGCAACATAGCACAACCAATAGGAGACAAAGAATATGGTGGTTATGTTTCCTGAGACCCAGCTAAAGAATGCCCTAGCCTTGACTCAAAGGGCAGATGGTGTTTGTAGGTGTTTGGCACTGAGACAGTCTATAAGTGCAATATATCAATTAAGGTCTCAAAAGAGTCCTAGCTTACAAAGTTTTCAACATTGGATACTACAATGTAGATGTATAAAAAAGCTCAAAAGAATGTGATCAGCTGCCTGATCATTCACTGAGTTCTGGTGTTATATTTATTTTGACTGGTTTTCATTTCACTCATGAGGAAAAGATTCATTGTAGCTGAAAGGAACCTCATGAAATTCAACAAAGTGCAAAGTCCTGCATCTGGGAAGGAAGTACTCCCTGAAAAAATATGAGCTGGATATGGACTGTCTGGGGAACAACTCTCCTGGGAAGGTCCCGATCAAACTTGAGCTAAATGTGAGCTAACTTTGAGCCGCAGCAGCAGCAATCACTTCCTTCAGTCTGCTGACCTGTTAGTACAGCGTGACAGCAGATTAAGGGAAGTGATCATCTCCCTTTATTTGACACTCATCAGACCATATCTAGAACACCATATGCAGCTTTGGGTCCCTCAGCTCAAGAAAAGAAAAATATTGATATAGTTTGGCACAGCATCACCAACATGGTGAGGAGCTGAAGTGTTGACCCTGTGAAGAGAGACCGAAGGAACTGGGTTTGTTGAGCCTGAAAAACAGAAGTCTTTGGTGACCTAGAATGACTTGGGGGTGCTGGTGAGTGAGAGGCTGGACATGGGCCAGCAATGTGCGCTTGCAGAAGTATTAGTTTGGCACAGAGTAATAATCAAGTTTCAGACAGCTCGAAGAACTGAAGTCTAATGAGCACTAAAATAGCAGAGAGCTGCTTTGCTTGCTTATGTAACACTTAATATGAATAATTAAACCAGTCTGCAGGTTCCTGGAGTGTACAAACAAAAGAGGAGGAATTGCTGAGGTAAACATGAGCAACATACAAATAAGAGGTACAATATTATATTTACATAAAATATAAATATAGTATAAATATTATATTTATAGTAAATATATGGGAAAACATGAAGAGAGCAAGATTTATCAGTCTATTTTACATCTCTGACTGCTGAATTCCCCATTGGGTTTTTTGGTTTTTTAATTCTGGTTTTCTCTCTCTTTGAACTAAAGAGAAGAAAATTCCTTATCAGGAAGAGACCAGCATGGGTAGAAGGTGGCCTGAACAAGCCAAGTCTCCTTTGTCTAAGTCCAACCTCTCAAAGTAGAATTCACATTACAGTCAAAGCCACAGGGTAACTTACATAACATTAACAGATATACAAATGTGACATTTCCATACAGTAATAGTTAAATCAGTAACTACTGAGACTAAGGAAATATCTCTAAGTAAAAATATGAAATCAGTGTTATTCTTATGTTGCTAGCTTCAGTAGGAAATAAGTTAAATGATCTTTCACTTGTATACAAGTTTGTATCTCTACAGCTCTGCAGACACTGGAGAAAGTGATAAATCATTCATCAAAACTGAAGTTGTACCACTGCCATATGGCCAGCTGGGTGGCACCTTAAAAATATGAAACTGATATAGTTAGTAGGAAAACAGAATTTAACTCTCCTTCTTTAATTTTCCTTCTACTGCAAGTGCATAAAAATCTGTTTTGGATGTTTCCCTGTAGTGTGGACCATAAATAGTAACTTTAAAATATACAGAAGTAGAAAGCACATGACAAAAGCACTTTATTTGACCCTATTCTACCAAAAATATCTTTACTTCCTGTGCTCAGCTTAATCCATCACAATCTTCAATCATCTTAGCTGTATAATCCAATACTTATTCTCCACATTTGTGTGAGTTTATGTACTGAGAACATTAGGATGAAAGGATTTATTAACAGCTTCTCAACTGACATTTACAGGGGATTGCGGTTCTTCAGTCTCCCAGAAGTGCTAACCTTACAATTTTTTTCTATTATTTCTTCAGTTTAAAAGTTCAGTCACAAAATTCCTAACATTAGGAAAGCACCATATTTTTAAAGACTCAGAATCTCTTCCTCAGCAGCCAGAACTGTAAGCTGTGCTGAGCCTCCCACAATGTCACAGTGATCAAATAGGCGATAAAACATTTTGAGTGTCTAATGTGGCAACCATACTAAAATATGATAAAGAAACAGGGTCTTAGACCAGCCCTGTACATAGTATAAATTAAAACATTCCACAAAGCAGGATTGTACACAGGCCAGCCTCTGTGGCTTCCTCACCTGCAGAGATAAGCAGGTCTGGGGAAGATTTACCCCAGGCACTTAAAACACTACTAACATTCTCCCAGGAGTTTCTTAGGAGAGAGAAAGGAGCTCATACTTTGGGAGGTGTTTTCTATGATGGCACAGAAGCAGTATTAAATACTGTAGTCAGTGTGGAGATTTCAAACCTGCAGTTTTGTACACATTTATTTTTATCTCTGAAAACAGATGCAGAGAATTCCACACCATGGGAGGACAGAACTCTAATCTTCAGGATTCACTGAAGCCCATGAAAGAGCACTACAAGTACTACATTGAATTTGTATTTGCAGCAACAACTTTCCTGATATGTGGTGAAAAAAAACCAAAGTTTTGATCATGGACCTTAATACAGAGACAATATGGACACTAGGCAATGAACACCAATTAATATATACGGACACTAGACAATGGACACCAATAAATATCCTCACTCTTAGGAAAGCCACTGTGCCTTTCAAAAGATAAATTTGAGATGTAAATCTTTAAGCAGTGGCCTGAATTGCTAGACAAGAAAATTTGAAACAACTTAAGAGAATATGACACAAAAAGCTATGAATGTCCAAATTAACATAGTTACATGAGCATGCTACAGCCTTCTTGAATATTATGGTTCACTTAAGCACGCTTCTCAAACTTTTTACAACAATTTGAATAATTTGTATCCTAACTAAATTATCAAGACTAAATCCATATTTCTACTTGCTAGGAGTTTTTATAGAAGTTGGACGCTGCATCCATAAAATACCTGCCTTAGTACACATTGAGTATAAAAATGACTAAATCTGTACCACATGATGTTGAATTGAAAAAATTCTGCAATTTTCTCAAATTTTCCACTGCAAGCTAAACTGCCTGCATTTGAAGGCAAATGAGAAGAAAGAAAACACTGATTGGAGAGTTAGTAGAACTTGTCAATGGGCCCTTTTTATTTCCTTTCATTTCAGCAGTAAAACATTTCTCAGTTGATCTGATTACTAACCCAATTTGGGATCCAGAGTCTGTTACAAGTAACTGGATCACTCAGCAGGCTGCAAGCACTGGTAAGTGCCACTACCTTGATGCAGAGGCAGCTGACTAATATTCAGAGATACCATGACATACATACCATGGCAGCCCAAATCAGACTTCATTTTTACCTTTTCTTCTTCTTTCCTACAGAGATATTAATTTTGTAGGTTCCATTCTTCAATGCCTTTGAGAATTGTATTTAGGTTGCAGATTAACCGTGCTGTACAATGTCCCCTGTACCACTGTGACTGAGCCCCACGTGTGCCCATGTGTGTATGAATACAGAGAGTGGGATAGGGAGGGAAAGTACATCATAGACTGTCAACCTGGATAACAGAGAATCAGCTTTATATACCCTTCCAGACTGACTTGCAGTCCTAGAGACAAAAAATGAAGCTTACAGATATTTAATCTGTATCCATAAGATAAAACTCTATGTATAACATACATACACACTGGTAGACAGAATGTTCAAGCCAAGACAGACATCTTCAACAATCCCAGAGTACAAAGCAACTTATTTATGTACATTTTCTAAGACTGTTTCAGGTTTATCTTATTCATCATGTTACGGCTTTCCTCAGGATTCTTCAACCCTTTATTTCTCTTTTTATTTGTCTGATTTCACAGTCAAACCAGCAGGAGGTTTGACTTGAGATCTCTTGAAGTCCATTCTTTATTTAACCCTGTGACTTTGAAAGGAATGGCATCTTTATCACCTGCTGATCACCCACCACTCCTACAAATTTTGAAACCTCTTTAAGTTGTCAGAATCCATACCTGAGAAGTTAAACTTTTCAACTTAAAAGATAACAAAAAATCTCCAGCAGTGATGTGTCTTCAGTTTGGGGTTTACAAAAACCAAGCCCAAATTTGAAACTTGATTTCCTTTCTCACATCAGCATCACTACTTAAGTCTTGCAACACCATGATAAAGAAATTTGATTTTATTTACTTGGGGCAGTTGCCATAGGCTGGTCTCAAGCTGAAAATCTTGATATCTATCACTGTTCTGCTTGTATCACATCTATCACAGTTTGGCCTCGCTCCAGAATATTCAAAACAAATAACCTGTTCCAGCTAATGGTTCCAGCTAACAATGCCATGTGTAACTAACTTCTTTTAAATACCCAGCACACCAACACTGTGTGTGCCACCTGCAGAGTGGTTTAGAGTCATAATCTTTCCTGCCATGTGCAGAGTAAGTAGTTCTTCCACCATCAGCATCATTTCCATGCTGAAGCTCAAAACTGCAACCTATTACGGTTCTTCCATGAGACACCTCTTTGGAAAACCCTCAGTACCACACCAGGAAAAACACAGTTTCACAGTCTGCTGAAGGACTAATTGCTCCCTTGCTGAGTGTTTCCCTGGTGTCTCTCTGTACAGACTAGGACTGATGTACTACTGCCGCTTCTCAGCCTTGGCTGGCAGAACAGAGACAGAATTTGTCCTTCAGCTCATAAAGATTTTTCTGGCATGGGCTACACTTACCTCCTGGACAATGCCTCATGGCCATTTTACACCGTCTGGATTCTGCAATGGTTGGACATGGTATTGAGTCTTTTGCTGGCTTCTTCACAATTTGTCTTGTTCTCGTTTCCAGGCCCCACTTAAATCCACATGTTTTGTTATTTCTGCTGCAAGTTCCCCACTCACTCCATTGACCCACTTCACAGCCTTCTGATAAAGCAAAAGAAAACATAAGTGAGCAATCCTTCTGGGTTTTTTTTTGTTTGTTTTCCTTTTTTCTTTTTTTTTTAATTAGAATGCAATGTACATTGTTAGAAAGCAACAGTTGACAGTTTTACCATTAGCAGGTAAAAAGCTAGAAACAAAATTAAAATCTCTTACAGAATCTGAATCTTTTTAGCCAGCATCAACCCAACCAAAAAAAAAAAAACCAGAATATAGAACTGTATGTTTGATATGTTATGACAGTCCAAATATTCAAAAAGTCTCCTAAGCTAATGAGATTGACTTTTCTTCTATCTAATATATAGATCCTATTTGGTTGTCACTTGGGTTTGAAAACTTCAGAAGTTCACATTTCCAAGTCCTCTCCATCATGAAATGCAAGAAATACTGTTGAAAGAAAGAGTTTGTTCTGACACAAGTCCTAAAATCTTACAAATTCCAAGCTGAAAATCTTCATAAAGGTGATTTTACAGTTAAGAGGACAGAACTTTGTGATGCACATGAGAGAGAGTGACATTCCCAGTGAAGTGTATTTTAAAGTTTGGAAAAATTTATTAGTATTATCAGTAAAGAAATCAATAATAATTCCTTACTGAATATTTCCTGATAAGAAATACTAAGCATCATCATAAACTAGTGCCATATTTAAATATGGCCACCTGGCCAAAGAGCTACTTGACTCACCCACACATTCCATAAGCTCTTCCAAGGCTGCAAATCCAGCGGGACATCCTCGAAAGCAGCGGCCTCTGTGCGAGTAAAAGCCACTTTTGCATTTGGTACAAAAGTCTCTGCTAAAGCAGGAGTCACAGTTTTCTATTCTGCATCCTAAATCAAAAGGATCATAAGGAACAATGAGACAGCAAAGTTAGGGTAAGACTGAAAATGAAGGGACTTACAAAGTAATAAAATAGCAAAGCCAGAAATGCTGTAATTCTGTCATCCTGAAATCCGTCTGGTATATAGACAAAATTAGAGGTAACCATGTTTCCCACATTTTCCTCTATGTCCTTCTAATCTTATTTTTCTAAATCAAACTGTAGATAAAACCCCTAGTTTAATTATATTTGAGTTAATGATATCTCTTTGGAGGAAAAATGTTCAGTATAAATTATTTTCATGTGTAAGTAATTTTGATGAAACTGAAATGTAACAAATTATTTTGGGAAGTATGCATGTTTTATATGTATTGTCTTCAGTTTATAATTTATCACTGAAAGCAGGATACTTTTTCTTTTTATGAGTTGACCCTATAAATAGCTGAGTGGATGCTTTCATGTAGTGTATCTGATGCCTGCGTCTACATATATGCATGTGCAAGAAGCCTCAATTTTGCTGGATTTAACTTCTCTCTATTACTGAGACACTTATTCCACAAAAAATAACCATTCTTAAATGACTAGGAGACATACACCATAATGCATAGATTAAAAATTAAAAAAAAAAAAAATAAATAAACCAAAAAAAACAACTATTATCTTTATGAAATATTGTATTCCTCAGAAAATTTAAGAGGAATATGATCTGCAATAGGTGACAGACTCATGTGTAGGCTTTTCAGAAATATCCTATTCCATATTAAAACATGTCAACTTGGAAATGAGCTAGTTATTAATGATCATATGTATACCAGACATACCTACAAAAAATACCAGGGAAAAAATATTCCACAGATTAAGACATATAAGCCATTATATTTGGAACAGTAATGATCATTTTACAATTAATTTCTTAAAAATCTAATCCTTCAGCTAACAAAATTAAATAAGCGACAATAGCTGTATCCTTTCTTCAGCTATCTGAAGCCACAGCAGGAAGCATTTTTTATTCATGTTATGCAACAATATAATCATAATTTTGGTAATTCTGTCACTCATTTATTCTTCATTCTTTTATAATGGAAAAATAAGCACAAACCATAAGGTCACTATTCTGAAATAGCAATTAGTAAATATCACCAATCAACACTTTAAATTTAGCCAATATTTATGAAACAGATTTTAATATTTATTCTTGAACTTCAGCAGGCTAAAACAGGGCATCCCACAATACTTAAACAGTGTGTGTGTGAGTGTGGTTATGGAAAATCCTTTGTTAGCAATTAGGGAAATATGAGGCTTTTAAATCAGATTTCTTGTGGCATTGGGCAAAAAATTAAGCAGATTGAATGAAAAGAAAAATGTATATTTCTAGTGGTGTTGACCTTTGCTTGGTTAAAAGGAATGTAAGGACCAGTTTGAAGCTTGCCCTGACAAAGATAAGCTCTGCTGGCTCTATTTAGACACAACCACACATAACCTGAATGTACCAAATCCTGCGTCCAGCGTTCTCCAAAGGGGCTTTTAGAACTCGAGTTCATATAGCAGCACAACTTGGGCTTCTTGTCCACACTTAGGGTCATAGGAAATTCCTTAGAATTATAATTTCTTTTCACAAGGGTTAAACCAGTCCCTAAAGAACAGGATCCTGATCAATGTCTACACAGTAATTCTGCAAAATCACTTTCCTAGATTAATGAATTGCAAGGCAAAACCAACCAGGTGAGCTGCTCTGGAGATGTACCACAATACTTAATACTTAATTGCTAATCTGGTTTGTTACACTCAAGATGTACTGCAAGTATTTTATTAAATGTAATGCTTGAGTCAAACATCCTGTGTATTTTAAAATATTCAGAAAAAACATTTGCCTCTTGCCCACTCACCTGAGACACTTGAAAAGAAATCAGGGTTTTTACAAATTGCATAGTCCCAACACAAGATGCAGACCAGAACATTGCAAGAAAAATCAGCATCTTGCAACACTCCCTCACATCCAATGGACACAACAATTTTTAAACAACTTTTTAACCATTGCTTTCAAAAAACATGTTAGGAGTAACACACTAAAATTTTCTCTGCATGTGTCAAGAGGGACTAAAGGAAAAACTTTCAACAGAAGTTAACGTTTGACATGATACAGACACGCTTGGCGGGTGGAAGCTGGCCTCACTTTGCACTGGGGATTCCCTCCATAAAACTATCATTCATTCAATGAATGGATAAATCCTCTTTCAGTTTTGATCATACTTCAAAACTCCCATCTTGTTTGTATTTTCTGCTTTACCTTCAATGCCAGTTTCCTTTTCCTCACAGCAGAGTCCCTGAGATAACTATCTTTCAGAAGCTTTAGTAGGTGAAGGTTGGGAGGAGTGAAGGCTGGATGAAGGTTGGGTGGAGATTTCCACCAAGACAGTTTAGACAGTTTATTTTCATCTTTTTCCTATGAAAATAAACTACTCCAAACATGAAAGACATATTATTTAATCTGTATCAGATGCAATTTAGGGGAAAATACTGTAAGAGTATTAGGAATACTGTAAGAAATCTGAAATAAATATATTAATTCATCAGAGTGATATTCATCATAATGCTTAGGGTTACTGAGTGCTAATCATAATGATAATTTAACTGTAGCTGAAGACAAACTAGGAGTGACAACAACCTGATTCTTCTACAATTTCACCAATGCCCAGACTGTTCCCAACTCCATGACATTCACTCCTTTCAACTCCTGCTCCCATCCCTCTGCTGCTCACTAGAACAGCTTTGGTGCCACAGATCCAATTTCACACTGCCATCCTGAAGTGTCCACTGGCACTGCACTGATCTGTCATTGACCAGCAGCACCTTCTGTGCTATTTTTTTTTGTAATTGAACCCCCTGACTGCTACAGTTGCAATTACAACAGTCTCAAATGGTCATATGCTCTACTATACAACATAAGTATAGTTCAAGCAACAGCACATTCATGAAGTCCTGCTATTTTGTAACACTGTTAAAAAATTCATTACCTTTCTTACTGCATTGAATTAACTACATGTGTTTAATAAATGCTCAATTTGTTTAAAAGTTTCTCTTTATCTTGTTTTTACTGAAGGTGAATGGAAGGGGAAATTACAATGTTGGGTCCACCTAGGAGAAAGAGGGAGAACCTAAACAAACAGTCAACCAAAGCTGAAGGGAGCTGTAATTTCTAATCTCTGAGTGGTTTCTCCTCCTAAAATTATATAGGTTACTATGGCTGTGGACTAAGTTGAAAGGTTCAAGACAGGCTTAATACATTAATCAGTGCAACCACCAAACTGACAGGTTTCATCTTACTCTTTAAATTCAGTTCTGTTTTTTTCTCATGAGATTATGTCTTGTTGGAGCAGTTCAGTTCAAAGTCATTAATTATTTAAAAATTATTGGAAAATTAACAAAGTTACTCATCTCTTGGGCATTCTTCTACAGGAGAGATTCAACACTTTCCAAGTTCATGTCCAAAAGGACTGCATTCTCACACTGCAGTGTTCAAGGTGGAAATCATATCCAGCAGGAAACTACATTGATTTCTAGAGACAAGCAGTCTCAAATTTCATGATTCACTGTTATTAGAAAAATAGTCTAGAACCACTTAGCAAATTCTAGGAACACATACTCCTTACATGCAGAAAAGAAAATTTGTCTTGAAATCCAAAATTTCCATCATTTTAGAGATTCTACACTTGGCTGTGGTATTCATTGTGTTACATTTGGCACTGACAATGTTTGGCTTTTAAAATCAAGACAACTTTTTCCATAAAAAATATTTTCTATAACTTCTCTAACAAAAATGAGAGTGTTCCAGTAAAAAATGCTTAAAAGCTTTTGTGCCTATGAAGATATTATTAGGGCAGAAATTATTTCAGCTTATGTAATTCAAGCCCTGTAACTCCCATAAGGACTTTAACATAGCCAAAATTTTTGTTAATTTTAGCTGAGACAATGCTATCTGAGCAACCCAATCTGTAAGCATACCTAAGAAGAGCAAGTAGGAAGAAACCTATTCAGTTTTAAGGATGTTTATTTCAACTCAACTTCAATCAACAAAATGTCTGTATGTCCACAGTGCTTCATATGTGCAAACCAAGATCACCAAACCAAGAAAGAAAAGAGAAGTGATGTGTAAATATTTAGCAGTTACACTAACATAAAAATATGCAATACAATAATCATCAGAGGGGAACCAGGACTGGTCCATAAATGCAAGTGCATCATTATTCTCACAGAGGAGACTGTAAAAGGCATGAGGATGAGATAAACATCAAGTGCTCAACACATGCCAGTATGGGTTAGACAGAACTTGCATTTATGCTTTTCAAAATCAATCCTGTAATTCAGGGGAAAAAGCTAAGTTCCATAAGTGGTAAAACCAAAATAAATATTATTTTGAATTCACCCTCAACCTTCTGCAATTAAATTCTGTATTTTTTTCTTTTCAAGAAACTAAAGAATACTGCCAATAAGACTACTTTGCCTTTCTCACAAGCACAGTACAGGCTAATAGAAACAAATCAATCTATTTCCTTAACCTACAAATATATTCAAAAACATTTTTACATGGGGAAGTATTTACAGCCAAGTTTTGAAAGATTTCAAGTGCAGAAGTTGAATTCAAAAACATGTTAGGAAAACTAAGGCCAAGATTCTAAATTACTTTACAGAATGGATGCATAAACCATATACTGTCTCATTTAATTTTTGATCAAAACTTAACCACCTGGTAGGGATTAGGCAGCACTCTGCAATACTACACAGCAGTTGGGAACACTATATCCATGGAGCCCACGCAGGGAATGGGGAGAAAGAGGTGGGATAGCTTGGGACAGGTCCAAGCATGGCCATAAGTGCTCCTCATCCAGCCAGACTGCCACTGAGTGACCCCATGTGAGTCTCAAGATGATGTGTGATGTGAAAACCAGCACACACCTTCTCACAACTCTGTGCTCCCAATGACACGGCACAGCACTAGGGGAAAGGTGCCACACATTTAACAGACACTTGATTATTGCAGGAAAAAAAGAAAAGCCATTTCTCACTTCAGGTTCTTATGTCAGGTGACCTGATTCTGGTTAGACTATGACAAAAGCATTCTCCCTGTAAATAGGAATAAGAGGTAACAGCAGTGATTAATAATCCATATGGGTAATACTCCACATATGAGCATATGGAAAAATCAATACAAATCAGCACAACTGCCAGACAGAGGTGAAATAATGTGAGATACCAGAGCACTCGTGGATTTTAATAGTTGTGCTTCTAGGCACAAACATGCAAACAAGGAATCTTGTTGCACATTAGCAGGTTGCAAGTTTCCAAATAAAATGTTTCACTAAAAGTGAAAGGTTATTTGTTTGTTTTTAATAGTACATCTGTTTTATTAAATTTGCAACACTTACATATTAAAGCATGTCTGGTGTGAGGTGTCTGGTCACCTGAAATTTGTGTGGGAACAAAAAATATGACAAAAAGCCCACCCATATATTACTGTTTATACTGACCTGTACCTACATGTTAAATTTATTCTAAATCCTTTATATTTTCATATAGTGGGAATTTATTTCTTAAAACTAGGAGTATCTGTGTGAATCATACATTTTTTCCCTAAATTACCCCTTTAATTAAACTAATAATAATAACAATAAAAAATAGGTCAATTCATCAACTAGTTAATCTGCTGAATGTTAAATATCTGAGAATGAGCCGGGACCTTCTTTAGCAAAGAAATTTAAGATGATCTTGAGATATCTGTGAAAATACAAATGTGTTTCACAACATACCATCTTAAAAACCAACCACAAATTATGGCCTTCTGACAAAAGTGAGTGTAAGGGTTGAAGAAATAACTCACTTGAGCATCTGTTCATGTCTGGCGTTCTCAGTCCATAGTACCCTGACGGGCAGGAGTGCAGGCATTCCCCGTACTGCCTCATCCCTTCTCTTCGCAGGAAGAAGAATAACTTGTGCTGGCATCTGATGCACCCATTATCCTTTGAACAAGATAAGCAACCTTTGCAAATTGGATTTGGTCCATAGTTAGCTGCAAAATAAGATAAATTACACTTTAAGGTCATTTGGAAAGTATTTTGGCTGGAGGTTCTCTATCCTCTAAAGTGTTACACATCTTTTGTATGACTACAAACAGTTTTGAAAGGAGGGTTCTGAGAGTGCACTCACTTTCAGACATCTGCATGGGCACTGAATAAAAAGAACTGTAATCTCTACATTTACAATTATATGTAGGGCAGTTTAAGGATTTTACACAGATTTAAAATACAGGCGCAGGCAAGCAGAGACCAAGCTTTATAAAGCTCACAGAATAAAGTTGGCTAAAAATGCAATGCTGCATTCTGTGAAGCTGGGGACATAGCATACAACAGCAACAAAATATAAGAACTTCAGCACCCTGACATATGCACATGGAATGATATGCCCATGGAAATTGATCAACACCACTAATGCAATTTCTAATTTGTGAAGCGAGCAATATTCAGAGTACAAAAGCCTCTGCAGAGCAGGTACAGCACTAGCAATGTGTGCTGCCCCCTCACTCTCAGGGTCCTAGAGCAGCTGTCTTCTTACAGGGTCTTCTTGACCTGAGTATCAAGACAAATTTTTCAAAAAAAGAGAAGCAGTTTTAAGAGCCTTCTTCTCTGGGCTGAAAACCATATGCCATTACCAAAGGAGCACAATTAGTGCAGGTTACCATTTTAGGTCACCAGCTGCTGTGCATTCAAGTCTATGCTCTGATTTTGTTGGATTATTTTCTTTTTTTCTTTTGAATTGCTTGGCTGATAACTGCAACACAAACTTCAGTCACATCACTCTTTGTTCTTATGAGCTTTGATTATCCTGCCTTTCTGCAGAGTTGCAGAACATTCCTTTGTCCCCATGGGCTGTCAAGTCCTTCTCAGGTGCTGGGTCAGCACAGTAGGTCAGCAGAGGGAGGATGACTCAAGACATTCCTGAAACCAGCACAACTTCACAGGTCTGCTTTAAATAATAAATTGCCTACAGGACTTCACAGAAATTTGCCAGTTCAAACCTGGTTTACTAAAAACAAAAGAAAAATATTATGCAACAAAGGAAAGTGGTTTTGGGATCTCAAGAGATTTTTAATAGAGGCCACCCAGAGAGCAGCTCACCAAAAAGACCTATGTTTAATTGTCATATTTTTAAATATTTAAAATTATTCACACCGTTATGTAGTGATCTGGTACTTTTACCTCGTATGGCTGGATAACTGAGGTTGTTCAACTGATGACTTCACCAGCAGAGTCAGGAAAAAAACCAAGGAAAAGCCCACCACCCTCTGGAACCAGTAGCTGATAAGCTTTACTCTCACCTTCACACATGTGCACACCACATTCCAATTCCCTCTCTGCTACCATCCCCCACACAGGACTCACTAAATCCAGCACGACACCATTCAATTCCGATCTTGGGCAAATAATCCTAGTGGGTGGCAGGCAGGACAAGAAGTGAAGCAATCTGGTGTGAAACAGCTCAGCCAGTGGGACACTTTCTGAGTGTTGGAATTCCCTGCTACCAGTCTCACCAGGTGAGATTCTCTTGAAGGGAAAAGAATCCTTCCCTTCATGGGATATGTATGATTCTTCAGCACTCTGTTAACCCTTTTGTAATGAGACACCCTAACAGACCAACTAACTGTCTTACACTCCTAAAACAGTTCCCACCTTCTGTTGCCTAAAAGACTTGAGATATAACTTTTCCTACACTTCATCTTGTAACTATTTTCATTCCCAACCAACTTCTTCAAAGACATGCAAGACAAACAAATTATGAACTAGGCATGGCTGCATCCCTCCTCTCACTGTGGGCAGGGATTGCCTTACTGTAACCACATCAAATAATATGTGACCATGTACACAAAAGCAATTGTTGCTTAACACATAGTGGGCGATCCTGTAGACTTGTGACTTCTCTTATAGTCTCCTTGGATGTCACTCTCAGTAAATCTTTACCTCCAGCTTATTCAAGGTTCCCCAGAGAAGCCTGTATTATAACAAAAGAGTTAAAAGGAATAAAGCAAAAGCAAGGATGCAAGATGCCTGAACTTACTCACTACTCAGAGTATTTTTTGGAGTTCAAAACAGCTGATATAATGTATATGATTTTTTGACTTGGGGCCAGGCTAATTGCTGAACAGCATCAATATAGATAAAGGCTACCATACATATACATATACATATACATATACATATACATATACATATACATATACATATACATACAGATAAATGTTATACATATGGATATAGCTAAAGAGAACAAAACCACAGGCTTGCTGGCAACAGACAGGGCAAAACTGTCTCAAAGGGAGAAAAAGATCTTTCCACAGGAGTTAGCAGGGCTCACTGAAAGAGCTTTAAAGAGATTTGAAGGGAGAAAGGGATAAAACAAGGCTCACTGAAGTCTGAGAGCAGTGTGCCAGTGCCTGAGAGACAGGGTACTAGCAGGGTCTGTCAGTCTGCTGTCTCAGTGGAGGTAGGGATGTTTTGGTTCTCTAGAGCTTAGTGATGGTGAGGATAGGGTTGAATGGTTTTGAGTAAGAATTGGGGGAAGGCCAACAAGGCAGGTATCATAGTGGGAGTTTGCAACAGACCCCAAACCAGGAGAAAGAGGCAGATAAAATATTCTCTAAGTAGCTGGGAGAGCTCTAACAATCACTCACCCTTGTTTTCATGGGGAGCTTCAACTTACCAGATGTCTGTTTGAAACACAGCACAGCAAAGAGGAAAGAGCCTAGGACATTTCTGGAACATGGGGGCACATAACTTCCTGACAAAGCTGGTGAGGGAGCAAACTAGGAAAGGTAACTGCTGGGCCTGTTTTTTGGGAATGGAGAAAGACCTGTGGAGGATGTGATGGTTGGACATCATTAGGCCCATCCTCAGCATAGTGATCACCAAATGCTAAATTATTGGTTCTTGGTGAAGTAAAGAAGCGGGTCACCAAAACCTCTACCTTGGGGCAACAGAGTCCAAGAAGGCCTTCAAGAAGGAAATCCTACAGACACAGGAGCAGGCATGTAGCAAAACCCATGGAGCTTGGGAAAGCTCCATGGAGGATGGAGACTTAACAATAGGAACTGCTGAGTCAGGATGAGACAGCAAAATAAGTTCCTGTCTCAATGACCCCCCACCCCAAAGCTTATCTCTGTAACCCTATAGGCTATTTTACCTAACCCTTACTATTGGTCAGGTTTGGATCCCCCTATACCCTATAAAAGGGCCTGGTTTAGCCCATTCAACAGAAGAAGAGCTGTTGCTGGAACCTTCATGGTCTCTCCCGCAATAAACCATCGCTGTGGAACACCAGGGCACTCCTTCTCCTCTCTCGCGTCTGCTGCAGCCTCAAGCCACCGGCACCCTACCATAGCAAGCAAAGAGCTGATATCCTAAGAGAGCTGATATCACTAAAGAGCTGACAATCACCAAGCTTGCTAAAGGGTAGCCAGTGGTGATGGCCACGAGCTAGCTGAGCTTTTGGGCACTCTGTTTTTCTGAGGGACTGGGCTCCCAGACTGTCTTGCACTGCTAAGATAATAAGGCCAAGATTGAGGCTTTATTATATAGGCAGGTGCCACATGCCAAAAAAGGATCCGGGGAAAAGAAGACTAGCTGAACAGAGAGTTTTGGCAGGAACTCAGGAACTTCTTCTTTGCAAGAAGAGGCAGACAATTCAGGAGGACTCCAAGGATATCATGAGGTTATGCAGGGAAAAAATTACAAGGGCCAAAGCCCAATAAGAACTGCATCTGCTACTAACAGTAATAATATTTCTATAAATACATTAGCAACAGCAACAGAGCTAAGGAGAATGTCCATTCTTTACTGAACATGGGGGCAAACACAGTGACAAAGGATAAGGAAAAGGCTGAGGTACATAATGTCTTCTTTATTCAGTCTGTAACAGTAATAAGACCAGTCTTTTTCTGGTACCCAGCCCCCTGAGCTGAATGACAGGGACAGACAGCAGAATAAAGCCTTCATAATCCATGGGGAATGGTCAGCAATACCACTTAGACCCATCCAAATTTATGTGGATGAAATCCACACAAGGATACTGGGGAAGGTGGTGGAGGATCATTTACTGGTCATCCAGGGAGGTCCCAGCTGACTGGAGGTTGGCCAATGTGACACCAGGTAGAAGATGAGTCAGAAAAAGGATAAAGCCCATCAGTCTGATTTCGGTGCTGGGGAAGGTCATGGAGAAAATCATCTTAAGTGCCATCATGCAGCACACACAAGACAAGAATGTTGGGATGGCTGTACTCTTCATTCAGTAAAAAGCCAGGCTGGATGACCATGCTAGGAGAGTGGTGGTCAACAGAGCTGGCAACTGGTGGTGCTCTCCAGGGCTGAGCACTGGAGCCAGTCCTGTCTAATGTCTTTATCAATGATCTGGACCAGGGGATGGAGGGTACCCTCTGTCAGCTTGCAGATGACATAAGTTGGGCAGGACTGTTGATCTGCTGGAGAGCAGGAAGGCTCTGCAGAGGGATTTATGGACCAAGGCTAAGACTACAAATTTCAGTGAGGTCAAGTGCTTGGTCCTGCACTTGGGTCACAGGTGCAACCCCATGCAGTGCTAAAGGCTGGGGAAAGAGTGGCTGGAAAGCTGCCCAGTGGCTGAACATGAACCCAGGTGGCCAAGAAGGCCAATGGCATCCTGGCCTGTGTCACAAATAGTCTGACCAGCAGGACCAGGGCAGCAATTGTACCTCAATACTGAGCACTGAGGTCAGTATATATATATATATATATATACAGGCCACACCTCAAAACCTGGGCTGGGTTTTTGGCCCCTTATTACGAGAAAGACACTGAGGAGCTGGAGCATGTCCAGAGAAGGGCTGTGTTGCTGGGGAAGGGTCTGGAGCACAAGTTCTATGAGGAGCTGCTGAGAGAGCTGGGGTTGTTTAGCCTGGAGAAAAGGAGGGTCAGGGAGCACAAAATTCTCCACAAATACCTGAAAGAAAGGTCTAGCAAGGTGGAGTTCAGTCTTTTCTCCCAA